ACCAACAGCTTCCCCAACAGAATTGCCAACAGTTGCCCCAACAGCTGGCCCAAAAGCAGCCCCAACTGAAGCACCAACAGCTGCCCCAACAGAGGCACCTACAACAGCCACAACTGAAGCACCAACAGCTGCCCCAACAGCTGCCCCAACGAAGGCAACAACAGCTGCCCCAACTGAAGCACCAACAGCTGCCCCAACATAAGCAACAACAACTGCCCCAACGAAGACAACAACAGCTGCCCCATCAGAGGCACCTACAACAGCCACAACTGAAGCAGCAACAGCTGCCCCAATAGAGACGCCAACAGCTGCCCCAACAGAGGTGCCAGCAGCTGCCCCAACACCTGCCCCATCAGAGGCACCTACAACAGTCCCAACTGAAGCACCAACAGATGCCCCAACAGAGGTGGCAACTCCTGCCCCAATGGAGGTGCCAACAGCTGCACCAACAGCCTCCCCATCAGAGGCACCAACAATTGCCACAACAGAGTTGCCAACAGCTGCCCCAACAGAATTGCCAACAGCTGCCCCAACAGCAGCACCAACTGAAGCACCAACAGCTGCCCCAACAGAGGCACCAACATCTACCGCAACAGAGGCTCCAACAGCTGCCCCAACAGAGGTGCCAACAACTGCCCCAACAGAGGTGCCAACAGCTGCTCCAAGAGATGCCCCATCAGAGGCACCTACAACAGCCCCAACTGAAGAACCAACAGCTGCCCCAACAGAGGCACGAACAGAGATACCAACAGAGGCACCAACAGCTTCCCCAACAGAATTGCCAACAGTTGCCCCATCAGCTGGCCCAAAAGCAGCCCCAACTGAAGCACCAACAGCTGCCCCAACAGAGGCACCAAGAGAGGCACCAACAGCAGCCCCAACAGAGGCACCTACAACAGCCCCAACTGAAGCACCAACAGCTGCCCCAACAGAGGCGCCAACAGCTGCCCCAATAGAGGTGACAAGAGGTGCCCCAACAGAGGTGCCAACAGCTGCCCCAACACCTGCTCCATCAGAGGCACCTACAACAGCCACAACTGAAGCACCTACAGCTGCCCCAACAGAGGTGCCAACAGCTGCCCCAACAGCTGCCCCATCTGAGGCACCTACAACAGCCCCAACTGAAGCACCAACAACTGCCCCAACAGAGGCACCAACAGGTGCCCCAACACATGCGCCAACAGCTGCCCCAACAGAGGTGCCAACAGCTACCCCAACAGAGGCACCAACAGCTACCACAACAGAGTTGCCAACAGCTGCCTCAACAGAGGCGCCAACAGTTGCCCCAACAGAGGCACCAAGAGTTGCCCCAACAGAGTTGCCAACAGTTGCCCCAACAGAATTGCCAACAGCTGCCCCAACAGCAGCACCAACTGAAGCACCAACAGCTGCCCCAACAGAGGCACCAACAGCTGCCCCAACTGAAGCACCAACAGCTGCCCCAACAGAGGCACC